TGATCTCCTGTTGTTTCCCCTTCCACTGCACAAAGGACTCTAATTAATTTCTTTAGGCACTCTAGCCTTTCACATGATGGTTGGAGCCCACCCCTGCATCCCCTCTAAAGTTATGTTCAGGAAACCTATTTAAACTTTCTTAGTGCAATTTGGAATTGCCTGAGCAAAGACCTCACTGTATCCCTGGGCTCCAGTTCTGATCCCAGTTAACAGCTTGTCAGTCTTCTTGACAACTCAGCATTGCCTACAATTTCTGTCTACCACCTGCCCTGACCTCCTGCTTGTCTGTGATCTCTGTTCTGCCTCTTGATTTTGCACTTCACATTGTCAGCCATCACCGACCTGGGTGTTTCTGAGGACAGCAACCTGGGAGTGGTTCCACAGCAAAGCTCATCATCCCTTGCTGTTGATTCCTATATAGCTCCTTTAAATTTGAACCTCTGCTCTTTTAGGACCCACTATCACCTGGTGGTGCACATAGTTTACATCACCTATCTCTGACTAGCTATTACAGACACCAAGAAGGCATAATATTGCAATTTACTTTGGCATGTAGAAAATCCTGTTGCGTCTACCAATTAGTGTTTTTTGGTGTAATGTTCTATATCACTCCATTTTTTATTTTGCTTTATACATACAGGTTCATGATGATCTAATATTAGATTTAATCATACACTATGCTAAAATGGAACCAATATATCTTTATTGTATTTCTTATGTAGAAACCTACAGTTGGTCTAGCTTCTCTTTACCTGGCACATATGCAGATGTGCCATACTACCAGTCATAATGGAAGTGCATGTTCAATGTGAAGGTTTTACAAGCTCTTCCATGCCTCCATTTATTAGTACGTTTCTGTCTGCTGTAGCCTTTATTTCTTTCAGGGTATTTGTGAAGAGTGGTCACAAGAAACCTGGGATGAAATTTCAACCTCATCTCTACTTCTTACAATAAAGATCTTTGTCAGTGAGTGATAACTACTTAATAAAGCTAATTGAAAACCTCATCAAGCATAAGGAGAGTGGCCATTGCAGATGAATGCAGTAGGACTTTTGTTCATGTTAAACATGCAACAAGATATACAGTCAATCTGTGTGTCCGCAGAACTACAATGTGATACAGAGCAAGTCTAATAACAGATAGGGCCGATACTCCCTTATATATATATATATATATAGCTCTAATCCTGAAAGCAGACTGTCGATCAAAATTTACACATGGCATCATTCTAAACCTCCACTCCCCACCCTGCTACATGGTTGCAAGAAAAAAAATAATTATTGGGGGGAAGTACATTTTTCTGCAGGTACTTGCTTCTACTTCCTAATTCTTTACCTAGGTGAGGAGCATGTACCTTCAGTCCACCTTCCCCCACCTGCAGCCTCTAGGGTGCATGTCACACATGCCAGGATGCTGAGAGCGCAGAGCCGCACCGCAGCTGGGACGGATCCTGACAATAAGTCATTTTTGTATGTAGATGCACCTGACTTGTGTTTCCATTCGTATGGGGTATTTTAAATTAGTGTTATTTACCTTTATTTTTTAAACTTTTTCTTTGTTTAAAAAACCCCTAGGGTCACCTTTCCACATCAACTGAGCTATTCAAGCACCCATGGCTTGAATAGCTTCAGCCAGGGAATGTAAACACAGCAGTCAGTGGGTGTGTGCAAAAGCCAGCCTGCTATTTGAAATAGCTATTGCACCCACCCAGTGCCTGCTGTCAATCAGCAGAGGGGGGACCAAATGGAGAAAAGCTCTCCTTCAGGTCCTCCTCTGCTGATTGACAGCAACTTGGTTTTCATTTCACTCACAGATCGCCGTCCTGTTTGCAATCCAAATGTAAATAATCCACAGGGGGATTCAATCATTGCTGTACTTCCAGCTGCGCGACACTGAGCGTCGCACAGCCACTTCCTGTCTTCTGAAACCCAAAGCTGCTAGTCTGGGCTGCCTGTAGGCATCTTAAGGACTAACTGGAGCGTGCCTTTGCATTGCGGTAAAAAAAGTAGCGCATGTACTACTTTTTTTCAATGCACTGCAATGCACGGCAGCTTTGAGGTGTGTTGGGGGTGCCATTGAAATGAATAGCAATGCTCCTAGGGCACGGTAACGCACGCTAGTTGCACTATGTGATAACATGTTAATTACATGGTATCATGCAATTAACACAATGCTATGTGAGAACTCCAGGCAGATGTAAAAACCTCCAATTACCTACATCATTCTGAAGAAACAGTGCATCTATACAGGAGATGAAAGAGCAGCCACAGAAATGTCAGGGCATCTGACAGGTATACTCCTTTCTGGCCTGTAGCTTACCCAGCAGTGTAGCACATAGGCCCAAATCATGCACCTTTACCAGCAAGTCAGCAACAGTACCCCCCCCCCATATTTCTATTCTGACAGTGTCCTTGTTTCTATTCTGACAGGGACTCTTGATAAACTTGAAGCTGGCCATACATTAACAGATTTCTTTCATTCATCCTGCGGGGCTATTGTAGTCTGACATCTGGCACCCACAATGACTGCAGCTGATTGTTTACTGTTTGGCCAACAATTTTCACCTCCTTACTAAATTTACTTTTGTTGAGTCGGCAGGACCAACCACTGTAAGAATTTCAGCTGATTCCAACGAATCAGACAAAATTGTAACAGTGTATGGCCAGTTTTAGCTAGCACAAAGGTGGACATAGACATGTTTCCCTGTCTGCATATGTAATAAGCATATATGACCGCCCCATGTACATGTATCAGACTATTTACATAAAGTGAATTCCAACCACATACAAAACTAAAAAATGACTATAGTGTCAATTTAAACCCTCCGGCCACACATTTTACTCTTCACTACAATTAGTCAACTATATTTACATTAACTGTATTTATTTATCTATTGTAAAAAAAATCTTGATAATATAAGACATATTGAATATGTTAAGTCAAACTGGAGTTATAAATTGCAGTGATCCTGAGCAATCAGATTTCAGTTCACTATAGTGAGAACAATGAAAGAATATTTTGATTAGTCTTTGGTTTACCACACTTTGCTCATAGTTCTTTAGTGTTGTGTATATATATATATATATACACATATATATCTATATATATACATATAGAGATATATGTGTGTGTGTGTGTGTATATACATGTACAGAAAGAGTTCAGTAATTGTGTAAATCACATCTGTTACCTATACCCTTACATTACACTATACCTATACTCTTACATCATACTATACCTATAATCTTACATTGCACTATACCTTTACTCTTTCTTTATACTATACCTATACTCTTACATTGTACTATACCTATACTCTTACACTGTACTATACCTAAACTCTTACATTGTACTATACCTAAACTCTTACATTGTACTATACCTATACTCTTTCTTTATACTATACCTATTCTCTTATATTGTACTATACCTATACTCTTTCATTATGCAATACCTATACTCTTACATTATACTATACCTATACTCCTTCATTATGCAATACCTATACTCTTACATTATACTATATCTATACTCTTACATTATACTAAACCTATACTCTTACATTATGTGATAGCTATACCTATACTCTTTCTTTGCACTATACCTATACTCTTACATTATACTATACCTATACTCTTACATTATGCAATACCTATACCTATAATGTTACATTGCACTATACCTATACTCTTTCTTTATACTATACCTATACTCTTTCTTTATACTATACCTATACTCTTACATTAGCCTTTACCTACAGTATACTCTTTAATTGTACTATATCTATACTCTTACATTATGTGATACCTAGACCTATACTCCTACATTGTACTATACCTATGCTCTTAGGTATCTAACAACATCTAATGTAAAAAAAAAGCTCAGCAATCTGTCTTATAATGATACACAAAGAGTGATGTTGGGCTGAATTTAAAACAAAATCATTTTATCAAGGCAACTGTCACATGAAGGTGCAGCAGCTTTAATAAAGAGTGGTAGAACACAATAGACCCTATAGACTACACACAATTCCTACATCCATGTGATATGAAATAGGGCCCATCCTCTCACCATAATGCATGTTACCTGCTCCAAATAACAGTGCAGATCCCAGAGTAGAATGTCTCCAGAGCTCAGATGGCTCACCCAGCTTAAGACGACTATCAAAATATTTCCATATTATCCTGCACTTCACTCATCCATGTCTCCAAAGCATCCAGTTACATCTTCCACCTAGCGATCAATTCCGTATTCAATCAGCTCTGCTACAGCATCAATCCTATTGCATTTCGAAGGTAAAAAGCAGCTTCACTGGGCGCTCTATACAAACATTTAAAAAGCAACAAGTAAACATATATTATAATCTTCACACTGTAAAATGCAACCTTGTGGTCCCCACATGGGAAAAGCAATCCAGTATCCATGCCATGGCAATCAGAGCGGGAAGAAGTGTAAAAAAGCATGATCATTCAGATCAACATAAATAAGCAGACAGATAGATCCCTAACCAGCGTGAAAAGTGTTGTCACCCCAAGCAACCAATCAGAACTGGCATCCTATTGTTGTAACTACTGTAAAGTGAGGGAAGGTAGAAATCTGATGGGTTGTGATAGCTCTCTGCACTTTGCAGTGCTTTATAAAATAGTGTAAGGTCCCAGATGTGAAAATGAAAAGAAAACATCAGAGCACAGACAGGAGCCAAGTGACAGTCCAAGGTGGGAGGGGACAGCTCCACTATAAATCATCTCAGTATCCTTGAATATGATAAAATGAACAGTGTACACACAGACACACACCCACATTCTGACCTCATTCATGTTTTATATCAGTGATCACTGTGATCTTCCCTCCTCCAGCGATCTAGTGTATATAAATAGAGCAGAACCAGCAGCAGCAGGGCATGGGGACATGACACCCAGCCTGGAGTCACGTGTGGACAATGTGCTGCCTCAACCCCAATACACAATAAAGCACAAAGTTTGTGTTTCATCCAATCTTACCGGTAGTTGTGTGTGTGATCGTCCCCAGGCGGCTCAGATTGTAGAATAGAAGGGAGGGGAAGGAGAGAAAGGGGAAGATTGGGGAGGAGGGGGGAGAATTCTGCAATGATCAGCACCGATCTGTCCCCGATCCGCAGTGCACATAGATCTATATCGCTCTTCAATCGGGCCCCCCTGTGCTTCTGTCTGCAGACAGGCTTGTAGAGCAGAACAGACAGAGAGAGAGAGAGGGGGGAGAGATCGGATCCCACCCCCTCCCCAAATAAAAATCCCTTTTTGTGTGCCTGGCTTGTGTGTGTTGCAGGGAGTCCCTTTGTTCTATAATCCCAGTAAGATTGAAAGCCATTCGCCCCGTCTCTAATCCCAGCCCTGCTCAACAACAACATCTATTGGCTGTAATTTACATACAGGATTAACAAACCAGCTTGAAGGAGGAAAGAGGAAAAAAGGCAGAAGACAGAGACAAGAAAGGGGATAGGTGGAGTGAGATTGCGTGCTGGAGAGCAGGATGAAGATTACAACCATGGCCGAGCACACATGTCCACACACACACACACACACACACACACAGGGCAGATTACTGCACACTCATCTAGAGAGGACAGTTTAATTTCTTTCCTCTCTGCTGGATTAGGTCATTGTATTATGATACAAAGTATACATATACACATTACCCTCTACACTGCATCTCTAGCTTCCTGCAATGTTTGTCAACATTTCATGCCAGGAGGTGCTGATTCTTCTGATTTACACATGATTTATATTTATTTCTTTATTACAGGTATTTATATAGCACTGTCGATTTACACAGCGCTTCACATATTGTACGTTTTACATCATTCTCTGCCTTCAAGCAGTTTACAATCTAAGGTCTCTATTACACACACATACAAAACAATTCAATCCAATTTAGACAGGGGCCAATTAAAGTGACACTAAATTTAGGAGTTAAATCTTACAAATGCATTCAAGTTCCTTAACTATTAACAAACATGTATCTTTTACACTGTAAGCCCTCAGGGGCTGGGCCCTCCTTACCATCTTGTCTTGAATTGTATTGTGATTGTAATGTCTTCCTTATATTGTAAAGCGCTGCGCAAACATTTGGCGTTATATAAATCCTGTATAATAATAAGAATAATCTTATTTGTGTATCACTCAGCTGTAGATCCTCCAATCATCTCTGAATTGGTGCTGACAATGTCCTTCCTTCTGAAGGGTGTCTACTTTTGTTCCGCATGGTCCCTGTGTGTGTTGTAAAGTAGCCACCTCTCCAAGCTCTCTCCTGTGATGACTACAATCTGAATACAAATTACTAAAATCAATTCATAAAAAAAGAGGGACAACTAAAAGAGACAGGGGGATATAGTTCTGACCGAGAGCCAGGAGAGAGGAGTGGACCCGGCGGCAAACCTCATCCCGCTGGGTGAACATCCCCATCTCTCATCCATAAGATCACCGCGCATTCGCGCGATGATGTCATCGCGCGTGGCGACCTCATGCGCGATGACGTAATGTCGGGGTGTCACCCGGCCTCAGGATGCCCCTGCCCATATGTAAGCCATGGGGAAGGCATACCTCATCCCGCCGGGGTGAACGTCCCCTACTCTCTCCACCGGCATCACCTAGATGGCCGCTGGCAGGCATCAATAAGATGTCCGCGCATGCCTGATGATGTCATCTTGCGTGGCGACCTCACACGGATGCGCGATGACGTCACGGTGGGGTGTCACCCAGTCTCCGCTCCGGGTGTCACTAGGCCTCAGGACGCCCCTGCCCATATCTAAGCCCTGGTTTACTCATGTACATGTGTGTGACAGGGTAAACGAGTTTAAACCACGTTAGAGTGCGGTGTATTTGGGCAGCCCATTGAAATTTCAAGAATCATTATCCCAGGATCCCAGTTATTATTTTAATAAAAGCTGCAGAATTAACAAGATTAATTACATTAATATGGTAGAATTATATGGGATTTTAGTGATTGGGTTTAGATCTACTTTAATCTGTTTTCACCTCTAATACCCAATCATATATTAGATAAATGAATAAAACAGGGTTATTTTGCACATGATTGCAATGAACACAGCTGCACCTCATTTACTAAGCTAAACCTAGCTATGCTCAGTGTGTGAGCCTCTCTGCACCCCCCTCCCACCCTCCGTTCATCAAAAGATTTTTTTGATTGACTTTTGTTGAAGGATCTGGTCTATAAAAATTCAGTTGAACAGTTACTGCAGCCAATCAACTACAGGCACTGATCAAGTATTCTGAGAGCAGCACACTCAGAACACAATAGGCCAGTGAAGGGAATTCCCCATCCATGCTGTATAGTGTGTATATGGGAATGAAGCCTATTTTGTTGTTCAGTTTGCAGGGCTAAATGAGGAAAAAAACGACCAGTGTATAGCTAGTTTAACACTGTCTCTACTCTGCTAGTAAACCAACCCATATATGTGAACTGATTTTGTCTTAAAGCTGTTAAGAACAGAGACAAAATGATTCCACACTAACAGGGTTATTTACAAAAGGGTGAAGAGTTTGGAGAAGGCACAAGAAGTGAACAATCTAGACAACATAGCTAAACTGGGAAGTGAACTGAATTGGAGAATTTTTCCAGTTCAGTTATGTTGTCCTAGATTGCTCACTTCTCCTGTCTTCTCCAAACTCTTCACCCTTTTGTTAATAACCCTGCTATAAGTGATTGCTCACTCTTTTGGCTAATCTACAAATCTCTATATTTAATGCAATAACAAAAATCTGTAAGAGCAGACATATTTAAATGTTAAGATTGCATTACATATTTTTGGACTTTTTTGTGGCCCAATCGGCAACCACAGACTGGGACCTCTTGCCGACACTGTGTCACTAGGGATTAGGGATGTGAAGGTAATACTAGTATAAATGAGATGCGAGCAGACAGCTTGGGCCTGAAAGGTTCCATATGTATCTCAGCAATTGAAGAATTGAATGAGCTGAAGAAAGATCGGGAAGAAGCTAATACTAGAGGGTAAAGAAAGTGGCCAGGTGGGGCAAGTGCCTGCCTCATCTGAGATAATAAATGACGACAGCAGTTATCCCATAGGGATTAGTTTATTCTAAGAATGTGCAAAGGTGCGTGGAGTTAATAAAAGCTATCCAAACCCTCTAGGTTACTAATTCTTCTAGTCACATTTAGTGGTTAATCTCCACCACCCACTCCTTTATGGAAGAAAGCTGATGGACCTGATGAAGAACTGCAGCAGAGGGCAGTTGCAATGCTAGTTTACTTTTGGCTATTGCAAATTGAAATAGCCAATAGAAATCTAGCAATGCATTCCTATGGGCAAAAATGTTATTTATTTTCTTTCTATTCTGACAAGTCTTCGTCGATCTCCAGTGCCTGGGAATCAGCATCCTGCCCACTGGAAGCAGGACACAAAGGATCCTCGTCATAATCTTAGGAAGAGTAATATACAAAGAAATGTAATTTCAGGGAAAGGACATAGCAGGGACCCTGTGACATTCTTATAGACCGGTTCGCCCGATGTGCAACATGTTTGCCTGAGGAATGCCACACCACCAGCATTGATCTGGGATCAAGGGAAAGATCTTGAGCAGCATTGATGGGCAACAAAATCCAATAGGTCGCCTCACAGCACAGAGCTGCCTGCAATGCGATTGGAAGATGGACAGAGGCTTCTTTCAGTGCTGCTCCAGTACTATTCCAGTACTCGGCACACCACTGCCACTCTGCATATCTGACCAGGGCACAGTGTAAGTGATGATGAATCGCACTTCCCAAGGCACACCACTGACTAGATATGGATCACATTGGAGCTGGGACCGCTTTTACTGTCACAGGACCTAGACACAGCGATAGTGATTAAGGGGTCTATTCACTAAGCTGCCGTAGGCAGCCTAGTGAAAGACCGACCTGAAGTGAAGTGAGCCGAACGCTGTTTGGCTATTCACTTCAGGCTTGTACGGCTGATTTCAGCCGTATATCGGCTGAAATCAGCCGTACATCGGGTGGCTTCATGTGGCTTCGGGTCGGCCGACCAGAAGTGCAGGAGGAGTTCGACTCAGCCGATCCAACATCTGGATCGGCTAAGCCGAACCTCCGGCAGGCTACTCGCTGCTGTTCGGTCTATTCTCACAGATGTCGAACAGCAGTGAGCAGTGACAGCTAGCTCCGCCAAACAGTTTTCTATTGGCCGGCGGTTCTGCTGCCGTCAGAAAAAAAAGACTCTCCCGGGCGCTCTGGGAATCTCCCGCTCCCGGCCCCCCCGGAGAGAAACACTGCTGTTTCTTTATTCTGACAGAAAAAAAAAAACATTTGCCCATAGGAATGCATTGCTAGATTCCTATTGGCTATTTCAATTTGCAATAGCCAATAGTAAACTAGCATTGCACCTGCCCTCTGCTGATGGACCTGATGGAGAACTGCAGCAGAGGGCAGTTGCAATGCTAGTTTACTTTTGGCTATTGCAAATTGAAATAGCCAATAGGAATCTAGCAATGCATTCCTATGGGCAAAAATGTTATTTATTTATTTTCTATTCTGACACGGCTCCATGTCAGAATAAAGAAAAAAAAAGAAAAAGCAGTGTTTCTCTCCTTGGCGGCCGGGAGCAGGAGACTCCCGGAGCGCCCGGGAGAGTTTGCTGTCTGGAGATCAGTGTCCCTGGTTAGCTGGTAACCAGGGACGCTGATCTCTCTGCAAGTGACCGGAGCCAGCCGTAAGATCACGGCTGGCTCCGCCCAGCTGTCAGAAGCAGGCTGTCGGCCGGCCACTCGGCCAGCTTCAGCTTTCAGCACAGCTCAGCCGAGGCATATGCCTTCGGCTCGACTGAGCCGCTCGGCTAAGTTCGGGAGCTGTACGGGCTATTGTGAATAGCCCGAACAGCACCCCCTCATGAAAACTATAAACTTTTAGGATTTGCCCTCACTTTATGTCTTGGTGCCAATTGTCATAGGACACAAAGAGAAGTGAATCTCCCCAGCAGGGACACAGGCTGCAATGGAAACTTTGATCTAACCACTCTATAGCTAAAAAATGCTTTGTATGAAACTTTAAGG